CCACAACCACATCGAAGACTCACCCTTGGGGATATATTGCACATGCCAAAAAGTGTCGGAACACCGAAACCAGTTTCATAGTGGTTGTGGTCGATGTGGCGCCCCAGGGCGGCCATATCGACCACAGCCACAACCACAGTGCTCATGTCAAGGTCGGTTGGTTCTCCCCCGAGGGTTCCGCCTGAAAATCAATTTGGTTGTGGTTGTGGTTCTTTGTTGCGCCCAGCCTCCGGCGAGCGCGGAAGGAAGTGAGAAGGAGAAGGCTATCTCAGAAGACGTGGAAGTCCCCCAGCAATCTCAGAAGTTCTCTAAGCCTTCCCCAAAGACAGAAAGAACCTCTCAGAGGGCGCGAGGGCTTCTGAGAAGTCTCGCCGCCTTCTGAGAAGTCCTTCTCCTTCTCGTCTACCCCCCCTCGCTCGCCGCCGACCCTCTTTTGGAGGAACAAGAACAAAGACGGGAAACATGCTCCAACAAATGCTAAAAAATAGTCAAAAATCGCCCCCAGACCTTTTTTGCGTGTGTGTGTGAATATGTTCGAATGTTGCTCCTGAAGAGGGACGCGCCCGACTCAAGGCTGGTGGCGGGAGGAGGAGGGAGAGGCACGGACCCCGAGGCGGCTGTCCCCAGAAGATGCTCTGCTGCGCACTGCCGCTGGTCCAGGGGGAGGAGGAGGAGGAGGAGGAGGAGGAGGAGGAGGAGTCTCATGAATCCTCCTCTTTCCTCCTGCTCTCTCCTCCTGCACCCGACTCGGGCCGGGCGAAAGGTGGGGACAGCAAAGGGGAGGTTTGAGAATCAGCTCGCGTAGCTGATTTTCCCGGCGCCTCTCCGCGCCAGAGGCGGCCATGTATGTCGAGGAGCGGGCCCCTCGGTGGGGCTGAAACCAGCTGCACATGCAGCAGATTTCGTAACCCCCTCTTTCCCAAGCCACTCGTATCCTCCTCCTCCTCCTCCTCCTCCTCCTCCTCCTCCTCCTGCTCCTCCTCCTCCCCCTCCTCCTGCTCCTCCTCCTCCCCCCTTCGTTCGGCCCGACTGACACACCAGACGAAGCAGCCTCGGCACGAACTGCCGAGGGTCCGTGGGGCTCTCTTTGCTCGGCGCTGGGCGCCCAGAGGCGGAGCCTGCGCCGCCGCTCCCGGCGCGGCCCCCGCGCGCCACAGAAGGGGGCAGAACTGAAGGGGCCCTGGGACACACGAGTAAATACACACAAGTAACCGGATGCCCTGTATGTTCCCATGTTTTTGGATGTTCGTCTTCCCCCCCACTTCCCATGTTTTCGCATAGCTTCTCCTGGGAATCGACGATTCATTGTGTCTTTGTGTTTTTGTTCCCTCCTGGAGAACGCCGATCCCAAGAAATCTGCGCCGAGCTCGCCGAACTGCCAACCGTCATCATCGTCCTCGTCGTCCGTCGACGTCGTCCGTCGCCGTCCGTCGTCATCGTTGTTGTCGTCCGTCGTCCTCGTCGTCGTCGTCCGTCGTCGTGGTCGTCGTCGTCGTCGTCGTCTGCGTCGTCCGTCGTCGGCGCCGTCGTCGTCGGATACGTCGAGGGCGTCGTCGTCCTCCGTCGTCGTGGTCGTCGTCGTCATTCGTCGCCCGTCGTCGTTGTCGTTGTTGGCCGTTGTGATCGTTCTCGTCGTTGTCGTCGTGAGTTGGAGTCTGTCGCCACTCGCCGTTGTCCGAAAGTTAATGCCGCTGGCTCTTCTTCGAGAGGTGCAGAGGCGCACGGGGCAGAGCGCAAGAGCCCCTGTCGCTGACAACGGGTCCTCGGGCCATGGCTCGGCTTCCCATCGGCCGTTCGGGACGACTCTGGCACACCAGATCGCCCTGCTCGAACCCACACTGGGCCTCTACAGCTCATGCACACCCAAGAAGGATCTCGTGGAAACGAGATGCCACTGGCTCTTCTCTCTCTATCTCTCTTTCTCTCTTTCTCTCTTTCTCTCTCTCTCTCTCTCTCTCTCTCTCCTCGACACCAGTGGACCCCGGATCCCCTCCCTGGGCTTCAGTCCGGCGTGTCCCCCTACAGGGGGAATATTTTTGGCGAAGAACAACAAATACTCAAAACATGCACCACAAATGCTCAAACATGGTCAACAAATAGTCCCCAGACTAAATTTTTGACTGTTTTGGAATATCCCCCCTGTAGAGGGCAGGCCCGACTGAACCCTGGGCGCTTCCCAGCCAGGACATCGAGGCGAGTCCATCCACGGCGACGAACGACGGGCACCGGCATCGGCACCTTCCTCTTCTCGGGAGCGGCCAAGAGGGGGGTGTCCAAGAAGGGGGGGTGCAAATCATGACCGGCGGCTTGTGCGCGGCCCGGCGGGGGGGCCAGGGACGCAATGAAACAAGAAGAGGCGCCATGAAATCTGGGGAGACATCATGGCCCCCGCCATGATATCCCCCCCCCCTAGTCCTCACCCCCCTCTCTGCCCCCCCCCCCCATCCTCTGTATGTTTTGATCCTTTTTGGGATATTTTGGGGGTACTTCTATTTTTCGCCGACAATCCCCCTGTCAGGGAGCCCACAAAGGACGTACGCGCCTAGCGATGTACACGAACACGGCCCCTCGATTCGCGAGACCGGCCGCGTTATATGAACATTTGTGCAATGCGCGCTCTCGAAACCAGCGTGGATTCATGTATATGTACGGCAGGTTCGTGTCGTGCCGACCCCAGCGTTGGTTTTTGACACCGCAGGGATCGTTCAACCTTGAACGATCGGCCGCTGCCGCAACGTCCGATCGTTCAACATCGATCGATTCTGGGTCGCCGGCGGCGTTCAACCTTGAACGTCCGCACTGGGGTCGCCGCTGGTCGACACGACGCGAACATACCGTACATGTACGTCCTTCTTTCGCTCCTGACCTGTAGGGGGACACGCCCGACATCAACCTTCCTCAGCCTCGGAGGAGGGTGAATCCTCCCCGCCCGGCCCCGGCCCGCTCGGAGCGCAGGGCGGGGATAGCAAAGGGGCGGTGTGAGAATCAGCGCACGCGGCTGCTTCTCCCTCCTCCTCCTCCTCCTCCTCCTCCTCCTCCTCCTGGTTTGAGAATCAGCTCGCGCAGCTGCTTCTCCCGGCGCCTCCCCGCGCCGGAGGCGGCTACGTGTCGAGGAAGGGGCCCCTCGGCGGGGCCGAAACCAGCTGCATATGCAGCAGATGTCGTAACCCCCTCTTTCCCGAGCCACTCGTATCCTCCTCCTCCTCCTCCTCCTCCTCCCTCCTCCTCCTCCTCCCCCTCCTCCTCCTGCTCCGTCCGGCCCGATCTTCTCGGCGGAGGGCGAACCTTTCCCGCCCGGCCCCGGCCCGCGGTCTCGGCGCTGCTCCCCTGCCGGGGCGACGAGAGGCCTCGGAGAGGCCCGTGATGCAGTCGGACTCGATCTGGACAGGGCTGAAGGGGCCCCAGGACACCCAAATAAACACACACACACACAACTAAAAAGATCCTACATATTTTCCCATATTTGTTTTGGGTTTTTGTATTCCCCCCCCACTTCCCATCTTTTCCCATAGTTTCTCCTGGGGATCGACGATTGATTAATTGTGTCTGTGTGTGTTTTTTCCCCATCCTGAAGGACACGCGAGAGGACACAAGACCCTTCCGAGGGCCACAGCGCCATAGGAATGCAGGAGGCATAGGTCGCGAGGCACAAGACACTTTCTGGTCTGCGGGTTGGGAGCGGGCCCCTTCCGGTCAAGAGCTAAACGGGACGCGGGTAGCCCTAATTGGGGAGACAGGGCGCGGGCGGGCGGAGCCTCAGGCGGCCGGAGGGCTCAGAAAACAGGCGGTGCCGAAGGTCTTGCACAGGACAAGGTGCGCCATGGACTGGAACAGGCGGCACAGGACACAAGGGCACCCTTGATTCGGCAGGGTCGACCAACGAATCTGGGCCGACTGTGTGTGCTCGCCGTCGCTCGGACGTCCCTTCCCCGCGCATGCTGGATCGCGCGCGCGAGTTTCTTTTCCTTCCGCAGGATCCAAGATTCTCCTCGACGGTCCTCGCCGGGGATCACCTGCAGAGGTCCGAGCGACGCCAGGAGGGAGGACAAACAAGATCACCAGGGAAGGCCGCCGCCGCCTCGACCTCGTGGCACGACGGAGCAGGGCCCGGAGGGAGACGGACCCCTGACCCCGGGGCCATCGCCTTGGGCGTCGCTTCCCGGGGGTGCGTCACCACAGGAGCTCCACCACAAGAAACCGTCCACGAGGCACCCACCCCTGGAACCCCAGGGCGTCCATGATTCTGTGGTGTGGGACGTCACGCTTTCCACAGCAAATTCATCGACGCTGAAGAAGCCCAGGGCACCCTGGATGCGAGCAGGGTGTTTCTTGGCGTGGGTTTCCACGGTAAGGCAAGGTCGTGTCATGCCGACTCCGCGCTGGTTTCTGACACCGAAGGGACCGTTCATCCTCGAACGATCGGCCATTTCCGACACGTCAGATCGTTCCACACCGACCGATTCTGCGTTGCTGGCGGCGTCCGACGTGGCACGCCGGCGGCGGGGCCGCCGCAGGTCGACACGGCGCGGACCTGTTGTGAATGGGAGGGGCAAGAGAGGTGCACTGCAGGGTCCCTCAAGGCCCGCTTTCGGGCCCTAACCGGCCCCTCTGGGAGCCCTGAAGGGCTCCTTTGCGGCAGCCCCCCCCGTTGCCCCCCCCATGCATCGCCCCTCCCCCATTGCGCGGCCCCAAATCCCCCAGAACCAGGTTTTCGTCCGGAGTCGTCTTCTGAACACCCTGGGGGCCCGTCGGGAGGCCCCAGGAGCCAAAAGACGATGGAAAACCTAAGGGCCCGTTCCTCTAAGGGACCCGCGTGCCCACGACGATGACGACGACGATGACGACGACGACGACGACCCCGACGACGAGCGCGCCGCCGCCGACGACGGCAGCGACGACGACGACGACGGCGGCGGCGTCCCATGCTCAATAACGACGACTGGCCCTCCTCCGATCGAGCTTTAGGGCACCGCTCGCCTCAAACCCCCCTCCCCCACGAGGGCCCGAACCGGGAGCCGAGCGGGCAGCTGTCAGAGCATGGCGGGGCCTCCAACCCGAGCTTTCGCGGGCGCGCCGTGAGGGCGCATCCCGCGGCGCGGAGAGACGCCACTTCTTCGTGGCGCCGGGACGGGAGACCCGCGGTGCGCCCACCGATCCGATCCTCGTCCCGTCCCCTCCTGCGTCCCGCCAGCACCCGACCACGGGCCTACGGGATGGACACCCTGGAAGGCCTCGACAGGTCCCTTCTGCACAGTAGGGGGTAAGACCCGAAGACACATGCTCATGATAATACTTCGATGTTTCGCGATAGTGCCGTTACTGGCCCTGGTCGCACCTCAAGTAACGTCACGATTCGGCTGACCTCTGGGGTGTTTTGGGCTAGCCCCGAAAGGTCTTTGGACCCCCCGCAATAGAGGGACACATTTTTCCGGCGCCCATACTCAAGGACTTGGGTCCGAAAAATGATGGGCAACAAAGGGTAACGACATATTCTGTTCCGCGGCACACGCCACGCAACAACGACGACGACAGCTACGACTACGATTACGACAACTACAACTACTACTACTACTACTACCACTACTACTGCTACTGCTGCTACTATTACTACTACAACTACGACGACGACGACGACGACGACGACGACGACGACGACGACGACTACTACTACTACTACTACTACAACTACAACATCAAACATTATCACTACCACCATTACACATACCACTACTTCTGTTTCTACAACTGATACTACCACTACGACAACTACTACTAGAACTACTACTACTACTACTACTACTACTACTACTACCTCTTCTAGTACGAGTACTACTACTACTACTACTACTACTACTACTACTACTACTACTACTACTACTACTACTAACACTAACACTAACACTAACACTAACACTAACATTAATACTACTACTACTACTACTGCTACTACTACTACTACTACTACTACTACTACTACTACTACTATTAGGCTACAATTACAAGTACTACTTCTACTACTACTACGGCTCCTCCTACCAATACCGCTACAACTACCACCCCTTCCACCACTATTACCACTACTACTACTATTACGGTTACTACGAATACTACAACTACTACGACTACTACTACGACTACTACTACTACTACGAAATTCACGACTATTACTACCACTACAAATGCTATTACGACGACTACTACTAGACTACTACTACGACTACGACTACGACTACTACTACTACTACTACGACTACTACTACTACTTCTAGCACTAGTAGTACTACTCTTACTACTCGTACTATTACTACTACTACTACTACTACTACTACTGCTGCTGCTGCTGCTGCTGCTGCTGCTGCTGCTGCAACTACTACTATTACTACTACTGCTACTACTACGACTACGACTACGACTACTCCTACTACAACTGCTACTACTACTACTACTACTACTACTACTACTACTAATACTACTACTACTACTACTACTACTACTACTACTACTAGTACTACTACTACTACTACTACTACTACTACTACTACGACAACTACTACTACACTACCACTACCACGGCGACGACTTCTGCCACAACTACTACCACTACTGCCCCAGATACTACACGTACTACTACTCTTAGTACTACTCCTACTACTACTGCGACTACTACTACAACGACTGAAAAGTACCACTCGTACTACTAGCTCTACCGTTACCACTACTACCACTACCCCTACTACTACTACTACTACTACTACTACTACTACTACTACTACTAATACTACTACTACTACTACTACTACTACTACTACTCATAGGGTCACTACTACGACGACTACTACTACTACGACTACTTCTACTACAACTACGACTACGACTGCGACTACTACTACTACTACTACTACTACTACTACTAATAATAATACGAATAATACTACTAATGCTACTACTACCATTACTGCTGCTAATACTGCTACTATTACTACTACTGCCGCTACTCATGCATCAGCAGGGATATGATGGAACATCCCACCTCAGAAACTCAACTCTCAGAAACTCTACCATCATAAGCCCCACCCTCAGAATTTCTATTGCAATTCAGGCACCAGGGGGCCCTCTGAAACTCCATCCTCAGATTCTTCAGTCTCAGAACGATTGTGAACAACGCCTGCGGCGAATAGTGTATCAATATGTGATGCAGTCCCGCCACAACCACGCTCACTATTCCTGTGTCGCGCGTGGTCGCCCAGGGGGCAGTATTCCATGGGAGAAAGATACCCCGGCATTGCCCAGTCGCCTTACAATAGAGGGAAACTAATATCCGCGGCCTCGACGACAACGCGCACGACTACGACTAAGATAGCGATTACGATCGCGACTACAAACACGACGAAGATTACGACTACAGTCGCGGCTACAATCACAAATCAAATCGCGATAACGAATACAACTACAATCACAACTACGGCCACAACAACTGATTCCTGTCGCAACCCTCACGCG